ATATTATAACGCTAATATTACTAAATATCAGCATATTCTGATTAAATAATGACCAGAGCGCGATAGATTGAACTTTCCTCTTTCTGAAAAGGTACCTGACGACAAAAAGATATTCTCATATAAGGACGAAAAGTGTGGAATCGTAAACTCATATTTTTGGCTAATTTTGTGGGTAACGTTGACAGTCTACCTTATCGCGCTGGCATCGGAGTCTACCTCCTTAATTATATCGAAACGCTTAGTCGTCATTTCGACATGCTCTGCATTTCGAGCGCATCTCAGACCGATGACCTGAAGTGTCTAAATGATTAGTCGCTACTTTTCGATACTTGCTGACTGTTATCGAGCGCGTATTACGAAAGCGACAAATGACAAGGAATCTAGCCCTTTCACAGGGCTATATCAAACTAACAAATTGGTTAAATATGAAAAAACAACTTGTTTGAGCATGTTTCCTGACTCCGACGCGTTTGTTTCCTGACTCTCCGACACGTTTGTCGTTTCGGGCAGTTGGTAGCATTGTTTCGACTAAGCTGGTCAGTTCGTCTAGGTTAAAAATCGAGATCGACTGTCATCGTTTCGGACATTGATCGAGATTTAGAACTGCCAAAGACGAGAGTCTTTTGCCAAACGTTTCGGGCAAAGATCGAGATCATAAACGTGCCAATCGTTTCGGGCACTGATCAAGATCTTAAGGCGATTATCCTAGCTAAACGTTCGAGCAAGGATTAACATCATCGAGGTGCCAATCGTTTCGGGCACCGATCGAAATCCAGTATCATTCGTATCCTGCCAATCGCATCGGGCATTTGGAATAAGTGAAGTTTAAATTAATTTTTAACTTCACGCACAAACTCGGATGAACGACGCACGAAGTTCGTACGAGACGAAACATGGTCCTTCGAGCCAGATATGCGACTTACGGACGGTAGTGCAAGATATGCAATTCCGGAGGACATCGACCATATCAATGTCGACGTTTCCTTGATATGACTGTCGAGGATCGACAAAAGGCAGTACAACGAGCACGGCTTTGTTTCAACTGCCTTCTCCCTGACCACCCGACTAATGAATGCAAGGCCGGAGGATGTCGCGTTTGCAATAGCCAGCACAATACAAAACTCCATAAGGACGGTGTATTGCAAGAAAAAATCTTGACTAGCTCCTACACGGACCGAACAATCACCGCTACGAGAACATCTAGCCAAACTCGATCAAATGCCTTATCAATATCCAACAATAGCTTTGTTTAAGTTGAAATTAGTACTGATCTCATTGACTATTCTTACGAATTGCTATGTTGTACTATGCTGTTGTCTGAACCCAAACTGTTCATCTATTATTACCTTCTTTTTTTCCATTCAAAATCATTTAGTTTTCTGTAATTTTACTTAGCGTTGACAACAATCTTATAGGTCTGTAACTACTTGGTAACTCGCTATTTTTACCAGCCTTGTGTATAGATGTTATACTGCTTGTTTTCCAATAACTGAGGAAATATGACATTTTTAACCCTGCATTTATTATGTACATTAATTGCACGATAGCTTTTTGCGTAAGATTTTTTAAGACTATGTTCTGAATATTGTCTATACCTGGCGCATTTTTTGAGGAAAGCGTCTTAATTATTGTTACAATTTCTTTAGGATTTGTATAAAACTTAGAGTAATCCTTCATTTGCCCTACTACTTACAAAGTCCTTGACTGGTTTCACGCCAGCTTCCTACAAATCACCGAAATGCGATGCACTGGGTGAACTAAACTTCTATTTTATTCGCAGTTCGGAACACTTGTCACACATCTCAGCTGAATTATAACAGCGAGTCAAATTCTCGCATTAATTCGCTATGCACTCCCACGAAATTCGTCCCATTATCGCTTAGCATACAAGCGGGGATACGTCGTCGTGAGATGAAGCGGTCAAATGCAGCCAAGAACGCCTTCGTCGTATAATCATGAACGAGGTCGATATGTATGGCCCTTGTCGTGTAACAAATGAACACGGCAATGTATGCTTTATGGGCCGCGACCAGCGGAGCCTCTAACACGATAAGGACCTGCAATCAACACCGCATTTCGCGAAAGCACGAGCCGGTCGAATTCTTTCCGGTGCTAAGTGCTGCATAATTTGCTCGGATGGTTTAGCTCGCCATCGGATGCACCGCACGCATTTACTGATCACTGTTCGTGTCTCAAATCAGCAGTCGAGTATCCAGAATCGTTGCCTGACGTGAAATATTGTCTGCTGCAATCCTCCATGCAATGTTTGAAGGTGAGATTGCCGAATTATGAGTGTAGACACATAATGTTTCGGCAGAATAATCGGATGCTCCAACGAAAGAATCTGAGAAAATTCTCAGACATGTCCAGCTGCACTATGAACATGA